GTTGAACCCATATGACCTGATTTAGCAACTAGAATAAGTAAGTAGTCAACTTGAAAACCTTGTAATGTCACATTTATTCTAAGCAAAAGGTCACTTCAGTTCAAAAGGAACATTCTAGAAAGAAACGTACAGTCTCGTAATGAACTCGCTTGTTTCCATCAAAGCCTTAGAAAATATTCTTCTGAATAACAGTCATGGTGGTTTTGTTATGGTAATCATAATAAACACATAAGACGTTGAAATTTTTAATAATGACGCTGAGCTGTGCTGTTATTTAAATAAAAACTTTCGTGATTAATGTTATGTTTTCGGCTTTATCAAGTAACTGTTTGTCTAGGAACTTGACCAGTTTCAGGAACGCGACGACTAGAGTAGCAGCGCGATAGTCGCGGATTGTTGCTAATGAATATGAGCCTCTAGCATCTCTAGCTTTGCTAACCATGCGATACCGATTGCTTACCATGAGGTTTCATGGTACCATGCGACACGTTGCACGGCAGTCGGTTGCCCAGCCACCGCACCAACGGTGCAGTCATTAGATTAGGAATTTGATATTATCTATTTGGTTTTGGTACCAAAAAAGGTATTAAGGTATATAATATAACAGTTTGGATTGAAATGTGTCTTATATTTTGTAATAGTCATGCATTAAAAAAACAAGAAAGAAAAATAGTTTATTTGCACTGGTAAAGTAGTAAAAAGACAACTAGTATAGTTTTAAAAAAAACAGAACAGTACACGGTGCAAAAAGGCCAGTGCTCAACTTTCAAGAGAGGTTTTCTAACAATAATGAAAATTATCTGTAATTAAGCGACACAAATCTGTCTACGTCTTTACGAATAACCGTTTAACCCTACATGAAGCTTCCCTGCATCTTCCAAGCACCTGTGTCTTAAACTATAGTTTGTATTCGATAACTATGGTCTAAGTTTAGACTCTTATGTCATTTATGGTTAACAAGTTCGAACTAGCTGTTATAACTTGTGCGTTGTGCAACAATCTAAATGGTCTCCAAATGTATGAACCACTTTATGTTAGTAATATTTTGAATTCTGAGTAAATTCACCAATGAATTGTGTAGTATTGATTATTTTTGAATATTTCAAGGCAAAAAACGCCTTCACGGATTTTTACAAGTATTTAATTTTATGATAATGAATCACTGAATACTGAGCCATGATTCGGCACGAATGGGCCGGCTCGACCGGAGTGATACCACGGCTTCGCAGAAAACCGATGTGAAGCAACGCTTGCGTTGTGTTTCGTCGTGTGAGTGAGGTTACTGGAGGCCCAATTACCCTCCCCTTCCCCAATCCCCCCAATCCCTGAATCCCCATCGATCCTCAAACTCCTAATCCCCAAAAAGCCGGTAACGCACTTGTAACGCTTTTGGTGTTCCATGTGTCTATGGGCGACGCCGATTGCTTACCATCAGGTGATCCGTCAAGAAATCTCATTAGCGTTATTTGCGTAAACCAATCAGACGTAAACACAACAAAATCCAATCAATTTTAATAGCAACATTTGGGCTACTTAAAACAGCTATAAATTTTACAACATACCAATAAACCAATGAATCCTAAGCAAACTTCCGCACCAACCCTTCAATGCCCCACCTTAATGAACTCATAATACATAATACAAAAGCTATTTAAAAACACATTAAATCAAACCCCCACGGGGCTTGGTCCACGACAATTTAATATAACCATAACAAAGGGGTGCGAATTTATAGTACAAAATTTTGTACTCAAGGAAGCCTCCTTTTTCCTGTCATCCTTGATAAATATAAGTGTCCTTTTCGTGCGGAACCATTATAAAATTTTATGTGGCAGCCCTACGCTATATACCCACTTATTGTAATTGCAATGTCCAAATTATTAATGATGGCTCCTCAGTAATGCGTCGCTTGTAATTATAATTTGCGTTTTGTGAATTATTTTAATACTGGTAATTGAATGTTAAGGTGCTAAAGGTCAAGGGACATTTGTATCATGTTCAACTTTGAAGTGTAATAGTAATTAATAATATCAAAATAAAATTCTGAACTTCAGAAATAACTTATAAAGTGCCACAAAATTCTACTTGAAGTTTTATGTAATAACTGACAAAAAATGTACCCGAATTTTGATGAACTTTCCCCATTTTACATGATTTCATTAAGGATTGAAGAGTTCAAAAGGAAAACCTCATGTAAAATGCATAAGCAAACATTCCATCAAACATTTTTCTACTTAAACCTTACAACGATCCGAAACATCATACTAAAAATGATTACACGAATACCAGCAATAATGAGGGTAGTCAGAACCATAGCACGAGTACAGTCACAAACAACGGTGGAACACGAAACTGCACCAAAACGAACAAAAGTGTGTCCGCGACAAATTTTTCACTTGGCGTCATAACACCGTTTGCGTGTGACTGTACAAATAAAAATGTACGAAGCCGAAACTTGAAAAGCGTTGCAACGGGCACGCGAGGAAAAAACGATGAAGCTATTTTTCTGGATTGTGTTACATTGATGTATGTGTGTAGGTGTGTTTTGTTATTTCACGACCGTTTTCCACCGCAATAATTTTTGTTTTGTATGAGAGTGAAAGAGACGGAATGAGGTTATCAGCTTCCCCTCAGCGTGGAGTTGAGTCGGATTTCTCGCTCATTCTAGCACTTTCCCGCTAAAGTATGTTTGAGTTATCTCTCAATTCAAATGTGGTTTAAAATATTTTGTTCGGAGCGACTATCGTCTGGTGGCGACAGTTTAATTAACTTGAAGTACTTGTATGACGAGATGGATCAAGTGCTCAATATATTGTGACGAAAAAACATTGATTCATAACCATGACAATTCAGTTAGAGTCTCTCTAGTTTATCGGTATTTTCCTGTACAATTTGAGAATACATAAAAAATAATTGTGGACCTTAATCCGTTCTAAATGTCCTCTATACAAACAATAAATAGTTTGTACCAATTTTTATCTGAAACAAAAACAGAAAAATCAAAGTAAACAATATCTACAGCACACAAGTCACGTCACTAGAAAGATTATAGCGGGACACGGCGAATGGCAGGTTATAAAAAAAATACCAGAATCACGATACAGCACTGTGTCACTGAAACACGTGACATTCGTCACACACGTGACAACTGACTCGTTAACCTGGGACGATTGTTAAGACAGCTACGGGATTCTGGATTCTGGCACGCTTTATGCTTCGCTCGAAAACGATTGTTCATTTTCCTAGTTTTTCGTTCGCCTGTGTATTTTGTTTCGTGTGCCTGTGATGTCAGGTTTCTGAGCTTCTGGTTGTGTGATTTGTTTTTATTGCCTACTACTTTTTTCTGCGTTTATTTGAATATAGGAAAACGTAGTGGTTATTTTAAAATCCAACCTTATTAACATAAATAAGGCGTTGTTAAAACGTAACTGCAGTACATTTATCGTATATCAACAGGTCTTTCAAAATTCCATGTTTTATTATTGTAAGGAATATGATACGGACCTATTAAATTAAAATCGCATACACAAAAAACTAATTCCATTCAAATCCACAATACTCCAAGATCAATAGCTTCATAAAACAACCACTTAATTAAAAACCATGTTTTGATCTCTGCGTCTAATAAGACTGTTTATACCATCCGAGTGCTTTATCTCCAACCCTTACTGATCCAACGTTTTTATATTAGCCCTGTACCCCAAGGCACGTGAATATCGCCCCATTTTACCCCGGGGCTCATAGTTACCCCACAGCACCTAGTTACCCCACTACATCTTGGGGTTGCTACGACGATTGCAAAAGGTAAAGGGATACTTCACTTTCGTACAATAATGAGATTAAAGTTTCTACGTAGGTGCTTTTAGAGGTAAATTGTGATCTATTTTATTAGCTTTAGAATTCAAAATAATTGGAAAAGTAGTATCGTATGCTATGTAAAAACTTTATTGTTAAAAAGATTTAAGGACCTTGAGAGGTTCGATTTCCATTTTAACTTATTTATTTTAGAAAATAATCATAATGAATCCGATAAATTTTTCTAACGAATGAATGTTGTTTCTAATTAGACACAAAAAAAAACTTCATCAAAACACAAATCAATAACATTTTCCAAAAGAAAATCTTAACCAGAAAATATTTTCTAACAACAAATAAAAATCAGTTTTCAAGCTCCATTTAGCAGTATCCGCAGCTAAAGACCACAACACCAATACATCATGTGAGAAACAATAGTGTTGTACACACTGACCGATAGTGGAACTCACAGCTTGAACACATCCCCGGGAACTGCGATAAGTAACTGTTCACTCCAACTGACTTTTACAACTTGGAGAGATACATGGCTACTGCAATGCCTCACTTTCTCTTAACTATCGATGGGTTTAATATATTGCTATTCGAATGTAAGAAAAGATTTAAAAAGTCAAAATGAATAAAAAGTAATAAATAATCAGGTGAGGTCTCCCAACAAAACATAATTAATTTTGGTAATTATTGTTGACGTGACCTGTGAAATGTACTTCACGCTACAGTTTTATTAATGAGTAACCAATATAATTTGTAATTTGTGGTCTCCCGAGGTTGTTGAATACCAATACAATAACGGAAAAAGATCTCATAAATAAAATTAAAACCAGTTTTACATTGACGCTGAATAAAATTGAATTTCAGCGCGTCATGTTCACGAAATGAACCCTGTTTTCCTCAATTACTACGCTTTCCATTGTGACATTGGATAATAAAATCTGTCTCTGTCTGTGACATTTGCGTAACAAAAATATAAATATTATGACATGACCTTGGATAAGCTCGGGCCAATTACCTACAGTCGTTGTCAAAGTTTACTCTCCATCAGACACATGAAAACGTCTTTATGTGCTCCGAAATTGACGTTCGAAGCGTTATCATCTTCAGAATATTTTCTCATATCGCTGGCGAGGTACGAGCATAAAATTTACGAACACTTACCGCGCAACATATTTCTAATCGACAATAAATCATTACCGACCTTTGTGCATGCCCGTGTGCTTATCCTTAAGCACCGTGAGCTCGTAAATCTTGCCGAACTCCTCGAACATGGGTCTCAGATCGTCCTCCTCGAGGTGTCGCGGTATCTGGCCTATGAACAGTTTGACGGCGTCCTTTCCCGCGCCCGGCGGCGCGCCCGTCCGCTCCGCTGGCGTCAGCGGGGACGAGCGCTTGGGATCGGAGCTGTGGCTGTGCACCGGCGTCGACGGCGCCGTGCCGATGCTCGACTCCCTACTTTGAGGAACACTGACCATGTTCACGTTTTGCATGTTGTAACCCAACAACATTGGGTTCACACTTCGCATATTCGCTCCCACAATCATGTTTATCACAGTTAACAGACTTTAATGAACACAAATTTTTAATCACAGTGCTTTGTACTTCGTTTGCCTTAATCTATAAATTCGGTTTGCAAGTTTTTTTAAAGCTCACTCGTGTTTACTTTCGTTTTTCGCGGAGGGCGAGTGTTTAGGAGGTGGGGCTGAGTTGTGTGAGTGTGCGTTAGAGCTGCGTCTGTGTGCGTTCCGTCTCTTCTCACAGTCGCCCCGTAATGCGTAATATTATCGATCGGTATAGTAACAGTAGTAGGCAGTACACTCGTCCCCCCGTTTTTCTCACTGACGCGAATTTATTTCTGTTTTTATGAGTGATATTTTTTGTATTATTTTAATAAATTTTTATTTTTATATTATTTAATTAGATATTATAACATATATTGCACATCGAATTACTTTGAAACTACACTTGTTTTACACACTTATTTTAAAACATTTAAGTAAACTATTTTTATCAATGACTATAATTAACAACGAGAAAAATTTGGCACACCGCTAATTCTACACATCAATTTTGAGCGACAAAATAACTAACACTTATTTTTTGTACTTCTAAATATTTCCACTTAAATCGAATGTTTTTATAGTTTTTCACACGTGAAAAGTGTATAATGTTAGTGTTTACGTAGCGAGAGCGCGTCACACGGGGCTCTGTTTACAAACAAACCGCCGACCGACACACGTTAATTTTTTATATTTATTTTTTTATTATTTTTGTTTTTTATTCCACCGTTTACCTTTGATTGTTCACACGAAATTTGTCACTGTACACTCGAAAATGTCAACAAGAAAAATTGTACATTTTTTTCCACCGACAAACTTATCACTAAAATACTTATCTAACTTAAATTAGCACTTGACGACGATTAACCATGACTTGACGCACAAACGAAAAGCACAAAACACGAACTAAATGAGACAACAAATTTGCCGTGTTCCCGTCTATATGCCTACATGTCCACTAACCTAAAATTCCCTCCGAGGTCCCCTCATAGCACGCCATGGGGGAGTCTCCGGTCTTGATACAATCCTCCCTTTCGCTCACCCTTAGATACGCGAGTAAATTCGCTTTGTGTGAATAGGTTGATTATTTGAAATTTCTTGTTTCGCTATTGCGTTGACGTTGTTGAGATGTGTACAGTTGTCTTGTCGAATTATTTGATAAATTTCACGCAGTTTCGTTGGTAATTTCCTGCGGTATGACGTGATTTAATGCGTTTTATTGAAGAAAATTTGTTGTAAAATTTTTATGTTAGTATTTTATTTTTTATGATAATTTAGGTCAGAAATAAGTTTTGATTTACGTGTTTTCTGATGTGCGTTTTTTTTTTGTTATATTTTTATAATGGTGTTATTTTATGAGTAATAGATTTTGATGTATTTATTTTACTTTTTGTTTGTATTAAAAATAAGTTAACAGAATTGAAATATAAATTTATTAATTTTTACCATAAGCCTTAAAGTTTAAAACTTAAAAATACATTAAAAATAGAATAAAATATCAAATTTCAAAAGAAAAAATCTAAAAGTGGTAACGGAAAAAAGCAATGCATCATTATTAATAAACGCAGCTTATACCCACATCAAGTGTTAGGAAAAAAAGCATTTTGGCTCTGAATAATTTAACCAACCGACGCTTAGTAGTAGGTCGTAAAACGCAATGGCAAATTCGGTAAAAGGTCTTCAATGTTTGGTCGAGCTATAATTCAAGCCCCAAAAATAGCGAAGGGGATGAACCTCACCCCACCTCCCCCGCCCCAGCTCCCCAGCCTCCGATGATCTTTGCACGCAACTTCTAATGGCTGTTTAAAAAAATACATAAAAAAGGAAACCCTCCTTGAGTTGTTTGGAGGTTTATAATATTTTTAATTTGTAAAGCGTTGAGTAAAAATATGAAGAAATATTTGGAGTTAATTAAAAAGGTTTTATTTCTATTTTTATTGGGTTACTTACCTGTGTGGCGAGAGGCGTTATGTGGGTGGCACACGTACACGTGTAGATGTATGTGTGTATGTATGTATATCGTGAAGATGAACTTTAAAGCGGGTATATCATATATTTTCTAACGTGAGAGTTATTTTAGACATTATAAATGTTAGTTTCTCTAAGGCTCTAAATTTATAGTAACTATTTCAAATAGGTTTTTGTTACTGTACCTTTTTTAAACAAAGAGTATTATGAAATAATAAAGAATATTTTTGTATTTTACGTTGGCAACCCTTAGCGTGGGATGATCAACACCTGATGTATTGTTTTGTCATTTTTATACTCCATTCAAAGCGAAGTTTTATATTTATTACTCAGTAGGGTTTAAATTACTTTTTCTTTTATTTTAATCTACCTCTAGGTAACGTTTTGAGTTATTGTGTTTCTGTTATAAAAATGAGAATAAAATGTGACGTGATTGCTATTTTATTATTTTGAATTAGTGCATACTATAAAGACTGCTTCGTTAGCCTAGTGGTCGCAAGTGTGACGGCCGGGCAAAAGGGTCCCGGCTTCGATACACGTAAACATTAATGGTTAATTAATACATACTGAATTATTTATTTATTTAGTCAAATAAATATAAATTGTTGTTTCGTTTTTATAAATATTAAATTGAACATACAAAAGCTAGCTTTAATCATTAAATTGCTGTTTGTTTATTGAATATTCAAATGTTATATTACGCTACTGTTTGTTTTGATAAAAGGATTTACAAATGTAATGGATTAAACGAAATAATATGTATCATAATTATTTTCATAAAACAAATTCCTCCAATCTATTGTATATTAAGTTCTATTTATTTATTATTTTAATATTAGTTTTTACCATGGTCGTTCCACTGCAGGGCAAGGCCTCCCTAACTTCCTTCCACTTATCTCTTCTCATAGCTTTCTGTAGGTAATCCATTTCATAGTTTTAATGCTAGTTACTCTTTATAAATCAATACAGTAATCTGAAATAGTAGGTGTTTATAAAATTAATAGTTTAGTAAATATTTAAAGGGTAGTAATAAAAGCTGCGACAAAAAAAAAGAATTGTTCTTACTGAAAATATTAAATCTACTGCCTAAAATACTAACTTTCCGACTACTTTACATGACTGTTTATTGCTACAATACTAACCTAACCTAATCTAAAACGTCTGTTGTCGGTAACTTAGTAATTTTGTCGGAGGTTCAATATTCTATTCGGAAGTTTAGTTTTGTTATTTGAAGATCCATTTTTCTGTGGCTGACTATAAAGTCAGCCACAGATCGCTGGAGATTAATTTGTTTTTCGGAACCATTATTATTTTACATATTTAAATTCTATTAGACATTGGTCGCAGAACATATCAAATACGTTTGAAAACAGTTAGTCGTTTTCAGTTAAGAAATTGACATTATGACGGTATAGTACTTTTTACTATTTAATTTACGACAGTGAATTGATATAATCAATATTATAATGCAAGTTCCTAGTCAGATTTTGTAGGAGTCACACGATAACATTATGTTATATCGTATGATTACCCTCCCCGTCCCCAATCTCCCCAATTCCTGAATCCCCAACGATCCTCAAACTCCTAATCCCCAAAAGGCCGGCAACGCACTTGTAACGCTTCTGGTTTTCCAGGTGTCCATGGGCGACGCTGATTGCTTACCATTAGGTGATCCGTCTGCTCGTTTACCGGCTTATGCCATAAAAAAAAATGAGAAGACATTTGTATAGTAGTGGACGCTTTCCACCTGATTATGATACATAACCGTTTTGGTACTAAAAGTATTTTTTTCGTAATTTTATAATAAAATACAGTACAAATATATGGCCAGATAAATGTCAGTGGTGTTTGCATCTCGTGCATCAATTAGGGCCTGTTTGGTGCGGTCTCGTGCTCCTGAACCGTCAGTCGCATGCGAGCGCCGACCGAATTCTCCAAACCACAAACAGTCGCCCAAATGTTAGATATTTTGATTTTACTAATGTTATACTTTAAAGAGACCTACGTAAATTTATATTTAAGGTTATAAATGAAATTGTAAATTAAATTGTTTAAGTGATACGTAATAAATTAATAATAAGTTATATTTCTAGTAAGGAGAATAACAACTAACTAGAAAAATTAGCTACCATTTTGATCCGCGAATACCCCAAGATTTCGTGCTATAATCGCCAATTTTCATGGTCCAATGGACATTGACGATGATGAAAATGATATGATAACTAAAAGCAAACCAAAGGGTAACCGGGTGGTAAATATAGATTCAGGAAATTTTCCACATAGTCTTATTAAAATCTCCCAAAATTTCGATCAAGTAAAGCCAGCAGTATTTCGAATTATGCTAGTAAGTGAGGGAGATCTACTGACCGAAAAATGGCCGCGATAAACCTTGGAACGAGTCTTAATATAGAGTACCTTCGTCACTGGAGCGGCAGGGCTGGCAAATGCGGTCAACTGATTATTTTTCCCGCATAAAGGTTCCACCATAATGCTGCTAATGTAAGAACATATTTTGATCTTTTTGGGCCATCCTTAAGTTTACTCCCTGCAGATGGAGATATTTTCGGAAAAGTGATTGTAACTTTTTGGTTTCACATAATCAGGGACTTCATCATCCTCATCATTAACAACCGAAAGACGTCCACTGCTGACCAAAGGAATCTTCCTAAGTCCTCCACATTCAATGACAACACGCCACCTGCATCCACTGGCTCTCCGCATGTCTGGCGTTGTCGTCAATCCACCTAGCGGGAGGCCTGCCCACGCTTCATCTCCGTGGCCTGCACATTGCCACTTCAGTCTGCCGATTTTGCAAGTTTTGTCAGTAACTCTAGTTCTTTGGCGAATTTCAATATCAAGCGCCTACGAACTAATGAAGTACATTACTACCTACATACGGTTATATGATATCAATTGAATCTCATTAAGAACATTTCCCGATGACTCCCACTCTGTCTATGACCTTTATACTAATAGGCACTGATATAATGATCACCCATAAACGGTAACAAGCATTA